ACCGATTCAAATTTTTTGCGATCTAGCTAATTGAAAGAAACAGATCGTAAAAAAAATTTGATTGATTCAATAGGCCGATGAAATTAATTTGCATTAAGCTGTTATCTTTATATGATCATTTTATAATCTCGTGCGTTGTTATTATTCTCGCGGAACTTACTGACAGCGAAAGGTTAGCGGATATCGGAGTAGCGTAATTATAGCAAATTCCATATAATTATGGATGGGAATTTTTCAAATACAAACGACTGATTATGTATTGTTTCGAAATTTATACTAGTAAACAGGTTTACGGCAAGCGTTGAGAACAGTACTTATGAAGAAGTGTTAAGTAACAGGAAAAACCTGTTTCACAAAGTACTTTATTTACAGGAAAACTCCAAACTAAAAATTGATCTTACTTGAAGTAGAAATGATATTCTCACATACAAAATTTTATGTATTCTACAAGCGCCTTTCAATGACGAATTGAAAATTTAGTCCTGGCAGTTTTTAAATTCTTGTCCCGGTTTGAGTGTTCACGAATATTTTGTGACAACAGAGAAGAATGCAGGAACATTCCCTGTATGCTAGCGCAACTTTATTCGCTGCAAACAAATTTTGAATTCGATATCGGAAATCGAATTTATGATTCTTCTGGTAGGGATCCAACGATGTCTACGAATGAGGGACACAGGTACGAAGGAAACGCGGATCCAGAGTTTCGCTGGAAAATTCAGCCTTGCCACTATCGTCCATTACGATCCTCGTACAGAGTCTTCAGGCTTCCGGAGTGCTGGAAACAATGAAACAACCACGTGGCAATACGAGATGTGAAGCCATTCCGGATTCCTGGATCTAACTCGATGGAAATTAACGTATTGTCAGGTTTCTCACTCACTTATGATTAATACAAGCTGTTCAGTCGTGCGGGAACGATTCGTAATGTACTTCGAGAAGTTCCTAATTAAATTTTGATAAAATTATCAGACACGTGTATGACGTGACGACAGTAACAGCAATTTATTACATAACTGTGGTCAACTCGCGTATCTGGCATATAACTATGTTATAATAAACACTGTTATATAATTTTTTACAATTAAATAGGTAGTTATCGGAGTGTTAAATCTGTTTCCTACGAAGTTGAATGAGGAATCGTCTTGTTTCATTCTTATGTGCAATCCTTTACGTAATGCAACGATAAATGTGCATGTATCCTTCAGCGATTTAAAAATGTTTAACGTATCTTAGGTGTTTTACATTCTATATTGCGATATATAAATAATAATTATAAAGAATTCTTATGTCTAATTAATCTCTATTGTAGTACGCACATTTATTGCGTACTTACTAGGCAATAAAATTGATATTGATGAAGATGCCATAAGTTCCAATATAACTTCATTATCACTTTGGAAAATTACTGTGTAAGTGGTATCCATAAAGGCGAGACGTTCTATATTGATTGTGAATTAAGTTGCACGTATCGAGCGAAATTTTTTCCCATTACCACCCTGTGAGCATAGATGAGTTTACGAATATTCTTAGAAAAAAAAGTTGAAACGATAAGGAAATTGAACATTATTTTTATCGCCATTAGCTTCAATAAATGGTAATAATTTCATAAATGTTTAATAGACTAACGCCAACGTACTGGCATTAATTTGAGAAGAAACTTTGAATTGATGGAACTCGATACGAATTACAACATAAGCGTTAATGTATTAAATATTTTTTATTGTTTTTATAATTCTTTCATTAAAAAGTACGTCCACGCAGCTGTTTCTTTTTTTGGATATATGTTTGCTATGTATATTATAATAATACTTTTTACGTCAGGACAAACGATTGATTATTTTACACAGATCATTTACATCCTCTCAATATGTTATAAAAATGAGAATCAATAAGCTAATTTCGCTCTTCTCATTCATCATTTTGAAATAAAACGCTTTATGAAGATATACGTTGATGCGGACAATGCGAACAGCAGATGAATAAATTGTCATAAAGTTAGATTGGTAAATATTTTAAAAAATATCTACCTGACAATAAAAGTGTTGACAGACCGTAGATTGAGTATAGCTGACAGAATGTCCGCATTTTATTTTCTGCTGAGTATATTTATAGAACTCGTTGGAAAATTGCGAGCGAAATGTTTCACGTGAATTTCCATCTCTCCTTAATATCGGGGAAGATTGATGAAGGAAAATTGGGAGGGCGAAAAGGAAAATTACGATCGATCTTGTCCACTCCGGAAAATTTTCTCTCCCTTTGAACCCGCAAACTTTCCTTCCTTCTTCATTTTACCTAACAAGCTACCGATTGCAATTGAGATTCTAGACGAGAGCCGTCGACGGATTCTGTTCGTTTTACATCTGCCTGTCACGTCCGACCTCCGTCTCCGTTTTGCGTAGATGCTACTGGTTTCAAAGCAAGCACCGAGTGTCGGCACAGGCATGAAGGAACCAGGCGTTTCCAGTTGTATAATTTTGTTAGCAACCTAAGTAAAGAGTTGATTAATGAACGGCTTATATTAATCGCTAATGAAGCTATGGTTTAGACTTATCCATTGGATGCAGCCACATTTTGTCAAGAATTAACGTATGCAGTCGATAAAGATAATAAAAGATCGTATTTAATATTGATAAAGCAGTTACTTCTTATGAAATTCGAATTATCTAAAAGTATAGGAATTTCGTTACTTTGCGATAAAATTTCACGTGGAAGGTACAGAAATAAAACAGCGATGGAGTAGGACAAAATAAGATAAAATGTTTCGCAGATATGAAATTTGAAGTGCAAAGGTAGATAAGTTGTACAGAATAACGGGGAAAGGAGCGAAGTTGGAAAGTTACGGAGTACATTGACACGGCGCGGCTGTTACGGAGAAAATCGGAAAAGAAAAACAAGAAAAGAATAGGAGACGATTCAATCCATACGTCTATCGATTTATCCAAAAATTTACAATGGCCTTATAATAGAACACCAAAGTAAAATACTAAAATGGAAACGCACATCATTATTTCATTAGAACTATCAACATTATAATGATAAAACTGACATTTTGATAATTCTACGAAAGTATTATCAAATGACCAAAAATTGCATGTAGTTACTCTTTACTAATCAGAACTACTATAGACACGCCATGAAATAGAATCGGTGGTGCCTTTTTTTACCTTTTGCAGTCAGCGGAGCTATAAACGGGATGACAAAGACAATGCGAAGGTGTAAGACGAGCAAGTTATCTCTGGTGACAGAAGATTTAAGGCCGCGTGAAGAAACGATGGTACAAAGAGCGGTGCGAAGGATTCATAATTTTCGTACATCGGTGAAAATAGCAACGCAAAAAAAGACAGCAGGAAGGAAGGCCCGGCACTGGGTGAAATAACAGGAAGAAGGTCAAAGAAGTGAGAGGCGAAAAAGAGAATCGAAGGGAAATAAGAGCTGCGAAAACGAGTGACGGGCAAACCAACAAGAAAGACAAGGGGGAGACTAAACAGGGAAGCACGGTAAATAAAAGGTAAAGGAGAAAATAGAGCTAGTATTTAACTAAGGAACTCCAAGATATTAAACTCTCTATCATTTAACGGCATTCGACTAAAGTACTTAAACCTCCAAAGCGATGGTTCCACCTGGGAACAAGCGTGTCGTAGGTCAGTACATATTATGTGTATAGACCCAATTGCACTCTTTTTTATTTGATACTTAATTCTGAGGATTTTTGCATGTGTAACGTGAAAAATAAGTCTTATTGATATTATAACTATGATCATTTAATGCTGAATATAAAATAATTTGTAATGGGAAGGGTTATTGTAAATTACGATGGATATAATTCTAAGCTCGACGTAACTTAAATAAGTGAAATATGGCACACTTTTGAAAGCAGCCACGTAGCGTAGCTCCGTTGCTCGAAATGAAACATTCGCGTTATATTTTACAGCCGCGTCCGGAGGCGAAGATCTTTTGGGAATTAATTAGAAGCCTGGCGTTCATCCTGACTAAGAGGCTATGCGCCGGGTTATGAATTAAGTTTTATCCTCGTTTTCACGGGGCATACCGTTGCCGTCGTGACTAACGAACGAGTCCAGTGAGTTTAAAAAATTGTTTGGCGCGCGAGACGAACGAACATGGCTGAATTCGTCGGGTTGAAGACGCCGATGGAAAGAAGAGAACGAAGTGCGACGTAGAAAACGCAACAACGTCGGCCACCAATGAACGACCATTAATCAAAGTGGTAAACGCGAGGTCTTGCGGACGGAAATTAATTTGTATTCTTCTCTGCTGGAAGCAGGCTTTAAAGGGATGTCTTTTTATGTGGTCTACCACAGGCGAAAGAGGATAATAAATTGATAAAAACAGGGTAATTAAAGCGAAGGGATAAACGTCGAGCGTTAACGTTTTTTGGAAATTTGATGCGTGCCTTGTTAATCCTTTATACTACCCAAAACTGTTCCTTGCACGCTGAGTATTACATGGTAAAGACAAGAGGAGACGTTTAATTTGTTACGACCCTCTTTTTCTACCGAAATGATTTATAATCATGATACTTGCAAAACTAATCTTGTCTATTAGCTGAGTAGTATAACATCTTCCTCCTCGACTTCCCACACAAATTATTCTTAGCTTCTAAGAGATCCTATAGGGTTTGAAGCAGTAGACAGGCTATTAGTAGCTCTCAAAATATAGTGTGGCCGAATCCAGAATGCGAGAACTGGAGCAAACCTTTTTTCTCCTACGCACAGTTTAATTCGTATGCTGGGTATTGTTAATCGACTAATTAACCGGGGTCAGATAAAGATAAACAAGAAACGGAAAGGAAGGAAAAAAGGAAGAGATACAGAAAATGCCGACACTCCTATAAGGGGGAATCCCGATGTTAGAGGGAGGGAGAGGCTTGGCAGAAAGAGGTGCGTCGTGTGTGCTGGTTTTCTTGTCGTTGTGTTCTTGTAGCATGCCCACATAGTTGAATTTCTCTCTGTAGTCTCTGTGATATTCGCTGTCCGTTCGTGCGAGTGAATCAGTCGCGTTCCTGCGTTCGTATTCGCCGCATCGAATGTCGTACGCGTATTGCCTGTGTGCAAACCGGTTCGCAAGGATCCAGTCGAACTTCGGTTTCGCAGGTAACGCCGAACAAATATCGGCTTATCGAGGATCCAACGAAACTCTTCCTAAAGTATCTCGTTCGAGGCAGATTCAATTCTTTCCCGTGTATGTATGCTCCGTTTCATATTTGATCAGCGGAGGGTCATAATTACATGCATAGCCGTATGTACGTACGTAATATGTCACTGACTATACTATTTGATAAAATGTAATCATTCGTATTTATAAAAAATATCATGCGTTTCTTTTAAAGTTGTAAAAATCGATTTTTAATTGTGACGTTACGAAATTAAACGGGTAATACTATCAGGAGTTGAGGAACGTGATTAGTTCTTGTATACGCTGTGACGTTTTCATTTTGGCGCGAAGCACGGAGGAATACGTGGTGCGCGTGTTAAATTTCTGTAAGTTCAGTTGCGTTTTAATGGACTTCGTTGGTTTTGTAGCGATTGTGAAAACTGGTATTGGGAAGCGTATCTACAGACCGATGTGTGTTGGTGAAAGTGGAATCAGGTGTCTGAAAATTGTGAGAACGTACGGATAGTAAGCTGGAGAGTTCGAGGATCAAGTTAGATGAAGTAACTTTGGTTCGAATTCGATCGATATCGGCGAAGCGAAGAGCGAGAAGAGGGGAATCGTCGTGAATCGATTCACGTAGCAGAATGGAACTTGAAAAGCGGCAGATGTGATCGAGTCAGGTTATTCCGTCGAAATCGAAAAGCGACGTTTGGGATTAGAAAAAGTGCGGTTTTAACGAATCGTTTTCGAGGAATGTGAAAGCGAACGAGGGGCGGAGAGAGGAGGAGATAGAATAATTACAAATTATAACGCGGAGGGTGAGACACGATTCGATTCGTAACGGGAAGGTGAAATAATCATAATTCAGGCGAAGGAAAGTGCGACGTGAAGCGCGATGTAAAGTGGTGATAAATTCGCGAAAGGGGTGCCGGAGATTGTAAGACCTCCGGGATTAAGAGTAGCAGGGAAATGAAGCAATGGAATAATAAACGTGACCAAAGGAAATGTAGACCCAAGGAAGGTGACCAGTGACGAACGCGAATTCCAAATTATTATAAATTTACGCGTAAACAACGACGATCGAATGAATTAATGCATGAAGTGAAAAAACTCAGACCGTCAAGAAAAATTAAGTAACGTTTCGAAATAAGGAAAGGAAGGTTCTCATTGTGAAACCGGTTAAAAGAATACGCGGAAGTTGGAAGAATAGTAATAACTTCTTGGAGAAGTTTCGATGAAGTTGCTCCGGATGGAACTACGAGAAAGGTTTTGATCAATGAACCAAAAAGACGAGGAAGTTAGGTCGAAGGTAAACTTTTTTCGAAACTGTACGCCCTCGGTTCACCGATAAGATTGCTTTCCGTAGACGGCGCCAGTTAATTGCTGGCAATAGCTGCCTCATAATTATCCGGGGCGCCTCTCGAGATTACCGGGATGCAGCTGCGTGCGTGCACCGTGTTGCATTATGCATCGGAAGCAATGATTTAATCGACCGGAGATGGCTTACGTTCAATTGTTCGAAAATTACCACTGGGACCGGTGAGCTATAGTTTTGAAAACGATGAGTAATGATTAACATGACACTTTCGATCATACTTGTTCCGAGATAGGCGTCAGTAAAATTCTAATAACTTTACACTTAAATACTCGACTTACCTGAATTTGCGATTACGTAAGAGACTGTCATTCTTTTCTTATCGTTTATCATATGTGTTATAAGTACAACATTACTATTGCACAATGCTAGACTGAAAAAGCTCGTTTGAGTTTTACGATCGCCATAAACATTAACGAGTGACTACGACATTAGCGGAGCTAGTCAGCGATTAAATAGATCAAAGATACTGAAGAAAGTTTATACGGAATGTGCGTGGACTAGAACGATATATCACTAGAGAAAATGTGGAGCACCCTTGGAGAAATGGTTCCGCGTAGACCGACCGCGACGGATCAATTTTAGTTACCGATTCCCAGAAGGTTCGTGCGTGGACGTCTCGACGCGATGGGGATTAGACTCAAATGAGTCAAGCTCCCGAAGAATCGTCGAGAATCGTGCTCCCGGAGCTCGTTCAAAATTGGATCGACGAGTAGTAGGGTTCTACTGATCCCCTATCGATACTTCGTGCAACGATCCGGTCAATTTGTTCCCGTTTGGTCGACAACTTCGTGACGGGTATATCCGGCGAGCGATTTTCCCGTTGTGTAAACGTGTTCCGAGCACTAAACTCGGGCTTTTTAAGTAACAAATGCTCGAGTGTTCATAGAATAGGAAGTACTTAAAAAACTCGAGTGAAAAGGAAATATAGTTCCGAATTAGTGAGACTCCGTGGATTTGACGTGAACGTTTAGTGTCGATATACTAATTATAAATAAAACTCGATTGATCTTAAAATTTTTTAATCGTGATTTTTACCACAATGACGAAACAAGGCATAATTATTTTCACGCTATTTTTCGTCTCTTTGAGTGTCGCGTCGTCTTTCAAAAAGTGTTGCCCCCCAGGCGAAGTTTTTTCGGGTTCATCGAAGATTAAGTGTGCTCCAGCACCGATGTATGCCAGTGAACTTTACGTACTGGATCATGGTAATGAAAATGTCACGCAGACCAGTCAGTACGTGTTACCAATATGCGAGGACCCGCAGGATATCACCACGGTGCCTCTTTCCGAGATTGAACCGAACGATTTTCTGCAGGTAAGATTAGTCATTTCACTAGTAGATCGCAAATGTTCGAACGGATCCGCGAAGGTCCGAAATTGAGATTTTGTTATCGTCATGCTATTTTATTGCCATTTAACTGTAGCAGGCTGTTCGATTATCTAAGAAGGCGTACCCCTTTCTGTTTATTCGATAATAACTAATACCAGACATGGATAGTTTTCACGCGACGTTTGTTCATATGTTTACTGTCTTAATTTCATTCAAAACATTTTATTTTTGGCATAAATATAATTAAACTCCAAGACATAGGAACTACAATTTTTTCTTCACTTTGAACCGCTTATATTATTAGATGTCTGCATAATCTCATTCGATAATGACTGGAGTTTACGTTTCTTTACAGGTAGCCTCCTGCGTCGAGATTCTGTACGATCAAAACAGCAGAAAGAGTATTCCTATATTCGTGTATTGCAAGTCAAACAAAGACAGGGATGAACAATACTCAACAGCTGCGTCACGGCCGAAACTTTTCAACGTCAGAAGATGCTGCACGAATAACATGATGTTCAACATAACCACGGGAGACTGCGATCCAACGTTCGACACTTTCGATAAACACGATTCGCTATGGAAAGAACGATTCCGCTCGTTGCTACCGCAGGGAGACGAGCTGGATTTTCTGAACGTTTACAGAGGTTTCCCTAAGTGTCAGGCAATCTTCACATACGAGATCGATGGGGATCTTATCGTTTTCGCGAACGGATCTTTGCAGGTAAGCATCAGTTCAAATATGACGATATTACGTATCGATGTGAAACTTTCATTTCCGAATACATGTAATGAATAATATACAAAGTTCTGGAATTTCATATTACAGATGTTCTTTTCTTAGTTTCTTTTGTGTTTCGCGTTAATACGCCGTTGAAGAAAAAAGAAAACAATTTCGCTATTCTAATAGATTTCGGAAATTTCCACCGTATTTGAATTGAAATGTCAATGTTTATTTCAGAAATAATTTCGAACAGTTATCGGTTGACATAAACTTAAAAAAACGATTTATCTCATGAGCTGATAAAAAATTAGTGCCAAATCAAGAACTAGCTCTTTTATTATATTTATTATTATATTTTTATTATATTATTATTATATTTTAAGACGGCATGCAGACGAGACAGATGGTTAAATTTAAATAAAAGCAATTCTGACGTTCAACTAACAGTGAAAGCGCTTCGCAACCCGTAATTCATGATATTGAATTAGAGAACGCTCTTCATGAAAATCTTTCCCTTTTAGTTCTTTATACCGCTCACGAAAAAAAAGGAACGTCACGATTCCAATGAGAATTCCCATTTTTCTCATTCTACGCCATTCCCCGTAAAATAAGCCTAATTGGTTGAAACGAATAACAGAGTCGCACTGAATTCGAGTCAATTTACATACCGACTTTCATTAATGTAAAAAATAATTAATTTCCCCGAAGAGCAAGATATTATCGAGTAAAGTTATGCAATTTTGTATAGCTAATATTCATTAGACTTATGTGCGTACGTATCATGTACACAATGATCACAGAACGTGTTTGCGTATATTTTTACAATGATTTTTACGATTATATATCACACTTTTTTCACTGCAGTGTTAAATTTTTATGGATTACCATATTTATTTTTAGTGTCGGTTCGAAATAGAACGATTATTATTTCCCAAACGTATTTACTTTGCTGGTTGTAGTTATGGTGTATTTTTTAAAATACATACGATCATAGAGATGGCAACTATGCGCAGAGTGCTAAAATAATTTTAGTACTCCATATAGAATCGATGTTATAGCTAAAATAAAAACGACAGATGGTATGCGAATACTTTCTGCATTCATTGTATGTTTCCCAATTTGCAGAAGATAGCAAAGTTACAATAGGTGTGTCCATTTACGCAGAATTTCGATTTAACATGAGAGACACCACACCTATGTAAATCGCTTAGGGTATCTAATTAAGACTAACGAACAAACGTTTGTTGCGCAGAAGATAATACCCTTTGTTTTGACATCGTGTGATTACTTGCTTGACAAATGGTAACAATTTGTCGGTCACAAGACACAGATGTCCATCATTCAATATATTATTATAAATGACAAGCAACCGGAGGCGAGAACATCAGCGTGTGAAACATCATATCACATGTCCATCGCAAAACATTCATGCATGATATCAAACTTAGTCGTCGTTCCAACGAAAATATCGTCTTCCCTTACTTTTTTCAGGTCCGACAAATATACCACAGTTCCCACGAAACGTTAGTTTCTCGCCCTATTTTACGTACTCGCATTGTCGCACGGAAAATCTGGGAAACACGTGCTGCTCGTTTGCTACTATACATACTTATACATGTACATGTATTACTACGTATATGTACATATATATGTATGTGCGTACTATGTACGTCTACCTGGGAAATCTATTTCGTTTTCCGTAGCAACTAAAAAAGAAACGGGCGAATTACAAAAACTGTGCACCCTGCTTCGCAGTTTTATTCTATCGTGCCCTATGTTCCCTATTCTTTAGTAATTGTCTCAGCAAACAATTTCAAATTGTAAGATCGTATACTACCGTAGAAAAATTTATTCCCCATAGAATCAATGTTGTAGTTAAGATGTTTAATTACGTCAGACGAATAAATCTTTTTAAACAGAAACTCCAATTGTACTGAGATCATAGTGAAACAATATACATATAAGCCACTATAATTATGAAAAAAGAAGAACAAATAAACATAGATTGGTTTCTTGGGAACTGTACGACTATGAATTAGGAATGAAGGAAACTATTTGTCAGTTATTTCTCATCCTTCTAGCGGACGTAGAAATTAATCTGATTGCTGTCCTTCTATACTAGTATAAACGTGTGGGAGTCGGTACACACATGTATATCCACTACTCGTTCAATTTTTTGTACACATCAATGTGGAAACAATCAAGCCTTCTACGATTAGCATAGTTATTTATCTTATGTCGAGACGTTTATCCGAGAAATACTGACGTGTTACATAGCAGCGGATGTCATGTTTGTTTGACAATAAATAAAATCATGGCGCACATGTTAACCCGTTTAGGGGTTACAGACACCGCGTCGTCTGCACTGATCAGTTTCATCTTTGTTTCATTCCCTCGCATACGCGTGAGAGCATTCCATTTTCTTGCGATCGCTTATAAAAAGGGTGCACGGAACAAACATTACTTTTTGTTCTAACTATTTGTTTCTCCTCTATTCATTTTTGTATAAAAGTGGAAAATATATTTATAAGATAAATATTCTAACTATAGGTTTCATCGAATACTTCTATGGCCGCTACATTATTTCTAAAGAATTACAACTATAAAAGTCATTCAGTATTTATTTAGGACGCTTTTCCTGAGATATTTTTCTATCACGTATTTTTAGATCGGTTGACTAATTAGGCAGCGAATTGAATTTTAATGAATTTGCGCTACTACATGGTCCTCGAAGTTTTCCTTTCATAGATTGAGTTTCATAGTTGACTCAGTAATTGCGTGGTTTCGGGTCATAATGGATTTTTAATTTGCTTTTCATTCGGATGTAATGGAGCTTTAATAACTGTTTCTGTTTAATTGCTTTTCCCTGGAAGCAAAAGATAACAACGATTTTATAACATTTTCTTTCTAGTGTTTTATCACTTTTTTATGATGTTCATAACACCTCCAATTAAATTTTTGTCCTTCGTATCAATCATATGTGCGACATGATTAACCTAATTGATACATCTATTATCTCCTTTTAATTTCATTGCGCGATATACTACAGTTAAAAAGCTACGGCGAAATTTTTTATTAAAGCTCATTTGACAATTGGCAGTCGTATACGTACAACAGAACTCATAATAAATAAGATCTTTAAAGATGTTCAAATAAAGTATTTCAATAAACACTGTAGATCATAAAGTCTCCAGAGTTACAGAGCTTTTGAGTTTTATTCTTAGCATTCGGCTCCGATTCCAAGGTGACGTGTTTTCGGTACGAATTGTAATACATATTTTTCTAAACTGAACCTATGTTACATTACTATATTTTAGCAGCTGTTACTTATCAATTAATCAGTGCAGTAAAGTACAAAAATGCTTTCCGTTAATTTCGAGCCTTATCAAAATACAGGAAACTCAACGTATCTTATGGAAGCCGTCTGTATACCAACTAACTAGGTTCCGTCATGTTACAGAGTTACATAAACACGCGATATTTAGATTTATCTTGTCAACATTATTATGTGCCTACTCTCTAGCGCTGTCAAAGCTTGTTTTATTATGCTAACGAACGAACATGGAGAATAACTATTTGCGTATTTTATATAAGTATAGAAATATTATTGAAATTATATCAAAATAGATTTATAAAAGAAAAGATTAAAAATAATTAGCATTAATAAATGAAGGGAAAAGCGCATAGAATTGGACTGGAGTTTATGTTCTTAACTGCTGAAAGGATGGAAACAAGAAGTTATTAAAATTATTATATATATATTAAAAGATGTTTTTATCAACTTGTAAGCGAAAAAGAATTTGTTATCGCGTTTGTTGGGACACAGGCGTCATAACTATCGACTATGCAAAGGCACGTGCGATCAAGACCAGAGAGTGTTCTATCCTATCCGTCCGCAATGCAGTGGTCCTTGGTTTCAAACAACGGCGCATCTTTGCCTCCGCCATTGTTCGCCACTAGCACCACGTACGTTCTACAAGAATGAATCGGATTTATTTATTGCTTTCGCACCCTTTAGCGGGGCCAGGTGTATAAAGATCCCTTGCCATCCGCTCCGGTAACGACCTCGCCAGGCACCTCGCTAGACAGCAGAGGAAGGATATATTTATTATCAGAGAGGATTTCCCAAGTTATAAAATGCGGAACGCTGCGGTGAAAACTGACACAAAAATTATTGACAAATTAATTTCCAACTCATTGCATAAATAATGTCAGAATTGTAGCGAAGATTTAAATTAGTTAATCATGTTTTCTAATTATTTTTATTGAAATAATAAATCATGTTTGTTTCAATTGCAAGCATAATCCACCAATACTCTTGAACTAATTCATGTTTTTTAGGTCTAAGAATTATAATATAAGGAATCTTTTTTTTGAGATCATTTAAAAAATTCTTTAATCTTGGTTATTATAATATCGACTGGTAGATTTGTCCCTGTCGCATATTCTTTTCAGCTCTCCTTGAGGGCCTCATTAAATGTTTCTAAGAGTCACGTTTGTTATGTGAGTCACAGTTTTTCGTCATTTGTACCAGGGGAAAGTGCGTAAAATGTCCGTCGCTAAATTATTATTTTGGTTGCGACAAATATAAATGTAATTCAATTATCAGTTATCTTAACTGTAATTTTTCAATGTTATCGTCAAACAAAAAAATCACTCGACTGGATCTCACCGATTAAATTAAATGTCACGGAAAATAATTCACAATCTGTTCAAATATTCGTCGCGAGGCTCACGAGCGAGCATAGTATTACAAGAATTTGTAAAAGCGCGTACTTTTCCCGTTTCCTCTTTCGTTTCACCCGCATTCTTTCGTTTTAATCTACTCATGACACTTGATCCGCCGCGAATATTCGAGACAACCGGATTTTTGCGCGTCTTCCTGCCTAAATACCTCTCGGAAATTTCCGTCGGAAGATCTTCCAAAGAATTCGCAGTATCCGTCGGACCGATTTCACGAACGCGAACGTCAAAACAATCCAAAGTTCTCGCGGTGTGCGGCGTTTCGAATTCGCCGCGCTTCAAGAATGTTCATCCTGCGGATATTCAATGTCCGGATAAATATCTTCCGCGTGAACCATTCTCGTTTTATCTTTCCAGGCAAGCCTGCCAGGAAGGAGAAATGAGGCTACGGACGTTATTCTCACGGACAGGAACACCTGCTTCGAAATGACATCGGATTACCAGTTTCAACCCCGGATCGTGGTTCGCGTTTGCCGAGATCCCAAACTTTGTTCGGAGTACGGTTGTATAAAGAAGTGTTGCGAGAACGAGGAAGGTGCTCGTCACTTGGAAAACGGGGACGATAAGATCATCGATTCGTGTAAGATCGCACGCTCTTCGCTTAACTTCTACGAGGAGATATCCAATATCACTAAGCGTCCCTGGAATGCTACAGGTTCGTTTCTCGCGATATTACATCTTCTTTTCGACACGATTTCTTAATCCTCGATTGTCATATCGAGTATAGTGGACCCTCATATACTTAATTTTTCCATTCTTGAGAACCACGCGATTCGAGATAAATATGAATATATGACCACAATTACTTATTGTCAGTTTAGCAAGAATTAAATTTTAAAATGTACTTCTCAAAATAATCAATTAAACTTGAACAATTTCTGTCAATGAACTTTTTTGTTCTATATAAAATTCTCTTGGATTTCGAGTGTTGTTTTTAGAATTATTGCATTCAAAACATAATTTTTCTATTTCGGAATACATTTGAATTTTTTAGAATATGGTCTATTTTTCGGAGTGGAGTGCCCTAATGGTATGTACTTCATGTATCCGAATGAAATACAAGAAATAACGCCCGAAGGGTACATCCAGGCTTATCAGGAATTGGGGACGGTGCCATACAATCAGTACTGCATAGATGTGTTCAATTACAAAACTAAGAATTTAAGTGGTTTGATCGCTTTTCGTTGTTTCGAGAACCCGCCAGTGGAGGAAAACTCCAATTACATGTAAGTGATTATTTATACTAAAGTCTTTTGAATGAGTGGTGTAACGTGAAATGAAGATTTTATCATACGCCAAGATCATAATGATTCTGAAGTCATTAAATGTTTTCGGAAAAAAGCTTGAGAACAATGTTCTCGGTATCGTTGATATCAGTGATATGTTTTTACATCAACGATATATCGTTGTTGGCATTGGAATTGTTAATGATTAGTGACTTGAAATTAGGAAGTCATAAAATACAATGATTTTTAACCTAGCACCTTGACTATCAAATTTTTGACTTGTTAGAGCTACATTCGCATTAAAAATTTAAAAAATCTTCAATAAAAGAGGACATATTTGTATAATACCGAGGCTTCGTTGTTAAGAGACTGTTTCCGCAATATCTACATATAAAGGAACGGACTATACTTGATGCTGGTCAACCGTTCAAACCAGAAACCAGTATCTTTCGCGGCAGCGCATATTGTAGCCTGCATCAATGCTAGGTAGGATAGCCAAGTTGTTTGCCAGTGATGCGGACAATGTGTACGATCGCATATCTTCAAGCTGAAGAATAAATAACAATGGTACAAGTCCATTTGTCTGATGAATAGAAGAAAGACCATTTTTATCGGGACAAGTTGTAACGAAGTGGTTGTACGTTCGTGTTCCTCCATTCGTTGCCTTTATACTTATGCGGTGTCAAGAAAAACTGAACTTGTTCCAAAAACAGGCGAATGAATATTATGATAAAAGATTTAAATCATCGAACGCACGCGATAGCGACGTGGGATCTGAATGATAGATTACATTTCGTTCAGTTTCCACATACTTTGCAATCCGTTTTTTCGTGGATATTTGAATTAATTGCTCGAGCGGATGAAATTCGCCGAATTACCTTAATTTCGACATAAATAAAGATCAACGAATGCTAATGAGCCCGCTAATGCGAGAACGGTTGGAATGAGTCGATTTATATTCGCCTGGCGCGATAACGAGGATACTTGCGCGCGGACACGATTTCTTTTGCACCTACGTATTATTGTACATACATTATAGTTTTCTTTGCGTTCCACGGTCGCTACTTTAAGTAAGTTGAAGAATACCTCGTGTTTCTGACGCGGCGATGAGAATTCCATCGATCCATACCAGGGGCTTTCTTCTCATATCAATTTTCACTAGACACCGCGTCGAATTCACGGAGGAAAGCACCAAATAACAATGAATCACGGTCTTAATTAGCGAATCGTACCGGATAATAGCCTAATGGACATAATAGATCGTGGGAGTTTTTTCCTTTGTTCCCGATAAATTGGTAAACTTTTCTTAGCGGACGGATCGTGTCGTGAATTAAAATCGTCTGAATTTTCATTCGGGGATTCATTATTATTCTACGCTGCTTAAAATAGTAATGCCTGAATAGGATTAAAAAAGATTGCACATTCAATTATTTCAACTATGGCTGTTTCTATGGAAGCAATTTTCATTGTAATATTAGTGAATGAAATCTTATTCTATGTTTTGTATACGTTTAAATGTTTATTATATTTGCAATATCTTAATTCTATATGATGCAGTTGGAGTAAATATTTCAACGATATGTATTGGAAAGAACTTGTTAAGGTCTATGTCTCTTTTCTGTTTTTAGATATGTGATTTCCAGCGTTTTGGAGGGAATCAGTTGTCTTTTTATATTATTAACACTACTCGTATACGCATGTTTGCCATCCCTTCAAAATCTTCACGGCAAGACGTTGATGTGCCATTGCGCAAGCCTTTTCATGGCTTACCTTTGTCTTTCCCTGATACCTTGGACTACACCGGATATAACGTCGATTCAGGAAAGCCGCTATACGACATCGAAGATATTTTGCACATCAATAGGTATTTTATGGATTACGGAGAAATAGTAGCATGCAGTATAAGAGTTTGTGAAACAATTTCTCTAATTACTTCTTTAAGTTTAAAATTGAGATAAAGAACAAAACGTAGGGGGAAGAAAAAGCTTGGAAACGAGAACGCGTGCACTGCGAACGCTACACGATACGATTTATCTTCATTTTCAGGATTCGCCATGCTCTTCTTCTTCCTGTCAGCTTTTTGCTGGTTGAACGTCATGTGCTTCGATATATGGCGGACATTCGGGTAAGATGATAGTAGCCATTTAAAACTTCCCCCTCAGACGCATTGTTTGAGTTAGCTTTTCTCGTTCTTTCACTTTTTTTTCGGTATAATTCGTTAAATTTTTAATATTAAATTGCATGGAGTTCCAATTATATAGAGCATCTCACCTGAGTTTGACATGAAATCCGTTGATATCATGAACTAACTAATTACTATATGAAATAATTATTACCGTAGTTATTTCATAAATTAACTGAATTAGACGCTTTAACAATAAAAATATACGCATAAAAATATTTAAACAATTAAATCTTTTTACGTGATCAAGAAAATTTGTCCTTTTATATTTCATGAAAATGTTGATTATTATAGAAATGAAAAAAATGGAGTTTTATTACCTCGCTGAGTAATTTAGATATATGTATGTATGTCGAACGCCTCTGTGTATAGTTTTTCATCCAGCAACGTACGAGTTTGTGTTCTTAAGTTGCTATTTTAGCTGGCGATTCATAAATAAGAGGAGAAAATAGATCTACGTGATTAGAGAATAACCACTTGAACGTTCCTTCGGGTTTCGCATCTAGCGCAAAGAAACTATCAAGTTTTTTATATTCTGCACATTTATATTTTCTGAACGGAATATTTACAACTTAATGCTACTAAAAGTATCATAAATATTAATTTATTGATAATAATAAATTAGAATAAAACAATTGCAGTTGATGTAATTTTTATTTAATCCGAATATCGAGTTAGTTTAACAGAAATCATGTTAGTTATTCTTGTTAGTATAGAGAATACTTAAGATTCAAGATAAGTTAATTCATATACGATTCGGTGCAATAGTAACTTGACAATTACATTTCACACCTGTTCCGCCTCTAATGTAAGCCAAGGAAAGAAGTTCCCCGAGATTTTCCTTTTCCCAATATCGGATACATTAATATGGAAATATGGCATCTCAATCCCTCGAATCGTTCACGCATTAATCAATCAAAATGAATAAACATTTGTTTCCGTCTACTTCGCAAATCTAATTATATCGTGCATCACGTCACATTGTGAAACTTTTTCTGGAACTGAGTGGCTCACCACGCGTGTGTCATTTATATTATATTCTTGAATAGAGTTGGAAAATTTCAACAGTTCTTTTTAAATATACGGGCACATTAAAGACGGAAGAATGTTGTTTATTTGTCTGACATATTTTTAGAATGTCTGATAACTGTTTCGCAGCATCTCGGCGAAAAAATTTTTAAAGGATACTTTATAAAAATAGATATGAGTGAATAGAAAAAATAAAAAGAAGCTAACATTAAAATTATTGCAAATTGAGAAGTTTTGAAAGATATGAGTCATAAAAATAATATTGTCAGTAGTAAAAAAATTGTTGTTTTAATATACATGTATCTGTGTATCATATTAACAGTCTATGACGAAATGATAAGTGCAAACGTAACAGGAAAATACAAAAGCAGTGAATCATTCTATGTAAATTATACTATTATGCGTTTTGTGTTATATTTATAATATACCTTGTCTAACTTTTTTTGTTTAATTCTTTTTATTATGTGTTTTCTTTGAGATCATATATAAATTGTTTTAAGATGTTCCGCCATCAGATCTTTCTATGTTACGTAAACGACTAGATATCGTAATCAGTAACTACAGACAATAAAATATAGTGAAGGATGTTGCATAATGTATGTAGAATTACGGTTGTAGAATTGTCTATATTTAATTATTTAATGACAATTATATTATAATCACAATGAGTAAATGGGGAATTCTTATTATACATTGAACAATCTTTCAACATTTCTACTCTTATTGTAATATAAAATAAAGTAGCAGCAGATATAGTAATAAAGTAGAAAGTAAAGCGCAAACACTTTAAACTGCTCTATTCAATTTACGTTTTCATACAAAACGAACGAAATCTCTTTTCCCAGGAGCTTACACGGTAGCATCTCCAGGAGCCAAAATCACAACAAGAGATTCCTGTTGTACTGCCTGTACGCATGGGGCCTGTCCATGTCTATCACAATTCTGGCCATAATAACCGACAAGACGGATTACCTGCCGACGTCGATGCGGCCCAATATTGGCACGAAAAACTGCTGGTTCGACTGTAAGTTGTCAAGTAGAAAAAATAAGTCGGACGGTCAACGTGATAAATCGCGGATTCACAATGAACTATACCTATCGTCTGTTTGATCGGAAAATCAGAAAGAGAAAAAATCAGAATCTTTTACGCAGTTCAACAGCTTGATTTGCGCTCCGATTCGCTTTAAACTTCAGACAAACTCAACGATTTTGTAAACATTCTTCTTCTCATGAAGTCTAAGATTTCTAAGAAATTTTTAATCTATATTACTCAAAAAATTATGCGGAAAATTGCCCAAGTTTTTAAAACGATTACTTACCGACAAATCATCGTAGGACGATACATTTCAAGGGAATAGTAAATATAAAGTCGTGACATAAAGACAGTTAAGAATTCTTTTCTAATAGTGTCAATAGTTCTTTCTCATTTCTTGTTATCTGAGCCTAGAGAAAATCTTTAATTAACATAGATTAAAGAATTCTGAGACCGCTAAAATTTGTATTCTATCGGAGACTGTCTGTCTATGATAACACATAAGCATAGAAAATCAGGTTCTTATGTTGGTTAGCGAGTAAATTTGTACGCGCCAAGAGGTGAAGCGAGGGTACAAGAAGGCATAGTGATATAACAGATAGCGAACAAGCTCCGCCATTCAGGGCACTGGAGAATATTCACTGACTATTTAAAATATTGCATATTGCGAAAACTTTCAAATACTCCAAATAATTTTCAAACATCGATATATTAAATTTATAGGTATATAAGATGTTTTAAAAATTGACTTCGAACCAAATATTGCAATACTACAAATTTAAGAGTATAGCTCTTTATTTCACTGCTCTGTCCTTTAGATTTATTGTTTTCCTAACATGGAAATTTTGTCCTTCATTGTGTGAATCGAGGTAGTAAATTTAAAATCTTTGAACACCGTTTTGATTAAAATTTTAGTGTAGTTGAATTAGCACTCTTCGTGCTTATCTTTATTTGCGTATTTATTCAATGTAACCTCCGCTCTTTCCTGAAAGTTGACTTCACAATATTCATTGTGTACGTACCGTGTTGAATTCTGTCGAGGATGAGTTGTCCAGGTTTGCTTGCCTTGTCGTTCAACCACTATACGTACACACGATGTTTGTCCTTGCTTGATTGGTACGGCTATCCTTGTCGTAAAGATTGACCTCAATCCTGATTAAGGTCCTTCCACTTCATGAACTAGGACATCAATTAGTACAACATAGACTATTTCCTTCCGAACTGTGAATGAACTTTTGCACTCTACAGAATACAATAATCTATATTACAGAATTATCATTTTTTGCAAAGTGCTTAATTTTGGATCTTAACTAAAAATTAATCGCGTGGAGAAAGAAGTGATGCATGCGACGGAAAGCGCGACTTTTTCCCTAGAAAATCAGATTTTTTCCACCGTTCCCACGGGTGTGCTTAAATTTCCGGAATTAAAGCGATATAATACGGCGGGTCTCGCTAAAAGAACAACGCGCGAGCTCCAGCTGGGTTTCACCCCTCCCTCCCTTTCGGCATGAATCGTGGTCGTAGATTCCGCGCTCTTTTAAAATCAAATATTGAATTAACGTGAAATACTTCCGTCGGATTTTCACTACTAACTGAATTTTTATCAGGAGAAATGTGTAGACAAAAATAAAGCTAAAATTAAGCTGGAAGATCAGCAGTTCATTATGAATGGAAAATCAAGGTTTCAATTTAAAAAAGTCCTCGTCGTTGAAAATGTCAGTTAACTTAGAAATGTATTAATATTGCAGATTGGCAAAGCAACTACAGCGAACTAATTTTCTTCAGAGGGCCGATCGCGATTCAATTGACGTTGAACGTGATCTTTTTCATTTTGACCGCTGAAAAGTGTAGCAAAGTGAAAGCCGAGATAAGTAGAGTCGTCGATCCACAGGATCCACGGAGTAAACGATTTCACTCCGCTAAAATTAGGTGAGTTTATTGATCCACCATCAATGTACGGGAGCTAAGAAAAATTCAATAGATGTCTAATTATAACTTCTTATCTCTTCAATTTCTTATTTTATTATCAAAATGTTAATGAGACATTTAATTCATTTTACTTCTCGCTTTAGAATTTTACTTTCATCAAAAGCAGAAATAAGCTTCGTGTGCAGATAGATGTGTGTTAATGAAAGATTAATAAGACATATGTATATTTCTTTCCATTTAAGTGTGAAGAACACAAAGAAGACCGTAGGAATTTATTTTATTTTAATATAAAAATTGTATTATTGATTCAGGTTCATCATGAACATGAAGCTGTTCGTTGTTATGGGTATATCCTGGATCGCAGAGATGCTCCCTTTGTTCATTCAGAAATATTCCAATTTTTATAAGGAAGAAATATTTTATGCGGCAGACATATTGAACAGTCTTCAAGGATTGTTAATATTTATTTTATTCGTGATGAAACGTCGCGTTTATCAGGCTTTAAAAAAACGACTAGGTCTTGAGTCGAGGAAATCCACCTCGAGTCAAGGTACGTCGATGCTGCAAGATCCCTTCAAAATGAGAAAAAGCGCGAGCAACAGCACGTTAACGTCTAGTGTGAATGTTAGCGGAGCGCCTTAACCAAAGAACACTAAATTATAATTGTGATTCTCAATTATGGATATTGTAACGATGATTTTTTACATACTCAAGCATTTTAATGTGAATATCTTTTTATACTATTTGGTTTATACTATTAGTTATATCCTGTTTTTATACA